TTATGATTAGCCAGTCACCTTGCAATCGTGAAGTAGTCTTGACTAAATGGAATAAGTAATAGGTTTATTCCATGCTGAAACACACCTCCTCTTACACCTGAAGAAGGCTCCACGGCCTTAAACGTTGCGTTTTCTTTCTTCTCTTTTAAGCATGGAATTAACCAATTGTTCCTTTGCAGCCTACGCATGCTGCCGCAACTCCCCACCTGAACTACTCTTAACTTAATGCACCCCGATACCGTTCTTATCCTCAAGGCAACTGATGAAGATGGTCAGATCTTTGCCTGCCCTCACTGTGGAGACCTACAGTAGATGAGAAGAAAAAGAGGGTTCATCATCTGCCACAGCTCCTGAACAGCAGGGTAGTGGCCTATGACCATGTCCAGTTCAATGCCTATAGATCGTCTACACACCCTTCCCAAAGCATCACAATTATGTGGTCTAACAGCCTGAAATGAAGACATTAAATCAGATTTTTTTTTTTTATCTTTACATGTTGTAACACAGCTTCTGGGAAAGAAATGCTCCAACAACGCGTTTACAAATGAAAAGATAAATAAGTGTACACCCCTGCAGAATTTTGTCTGTTAAATTCAGATGTTTCTTTATAGCTATTTTTGTGTTTGTTGGTTTGAAATGCATCATTTTGAAAAGGGTAGTGACCTTATCTTGGAGAATGTTTTAGATGTTACTCCATTTAATTTGGAGCAGATGTAGAGCCATTGTGCTTTGTGTGCGTGTCTCAATGTACATTTTTTTTATTTCTAGGGGACTGGCTGGAGGCAGGAAGTGGCCTGCTTAGTTTATAATAACCCACAGAATTAGGACAGTGTCCTATTTTTCAGTTGGCGTTTGTTTTTAGCATTACTGTGTCAAGTGTACAGTAAGATCACAGTTAGGAGAATCTTAATAACCCTTCCTCAGGGACAGGAAATTATTTTCTGAATTTCACATCTTATCTAAGACTTAAGATGTGCTTTTGAAAGTTGTAAAGGGTGTTAAAATCTTCCTGTTGGAATACAATACTTTTGTTTCGAATGAAGAATGCAAAGCTTCCCCATAAACACGTCCATTTTTAATTTCTTTCATTGAATTAGCTGTGACAAAAAAGGAAAGAAACTGAATCAGTGACATTATGTATGGGGAATTTTCAAAATCATGGTTTCACTTATTGTTCATTTTCTTTTCTGAAAAATTGCCAGCAATCAGTTCATTAGCTCTGTAAGGTAATGAATACTAGGCTGATACTGGCACTTGTAGCAAATTTTCTTTGTTCCAGTCTGTATCCCACGTTTGAAGTGACAAATTATTTTTTGTGGCTTCTGGACTGCTATGTAGTGCTGGGAAAATTTTGAATAAGCCATTTTTGTATCTAATATCTCTAGCACATTTTTGAATGGTTTTTAAAGTTCACTTTTGGCTATACATGATAGTGAGAAATGCACACTACACCAATGTCCATTTATAAATATAAAGTTGGCAGACTTTATAGGAGGATGTGTGTATGTCATTGCGCATCATACCTGCCCAGCTCGTTAACCACGGCAAGAAGCATATACTCAGGTTGTTAAGAGGTGCCACGTTGGAGCAGCGAATACTTGAGTGTTGTTAATATTAAACCATCTAGTAAGCTTTTGAACCATTTCCAAACAAATGAATATCCAAACGAACATGGTCTTAGATGAATGTACTGATGCAAAACTACTAATGCCACTGGACTCGATCAGTAGAATGAAATCCCCACAGCTATTCCATGCTTACATCATCTTAGACACTGCTGCTTGTGAAACATCTGAAAGTCAAGGTCTTGGCTCCTGCCAGACACACCCCCGTAATCACCCCTCTTCCAAAGTCAGTGAGGTTTCCTTCTTGAGGTACAATCGTAGAAACCTGTCTAAAAGTTTCATACCTGGCTCTAAGCATGTTTTATTTAGTTGATGCAGGAGCCACCCCTGTTTGAAAGCCCTTCCTTTCCGTATAGTTGGTGTTCTCCATTTATTCTGTTTGTTCTATTTTTATCCCACACCTGTAGGAGTATGAGGTTTATATTCTAAATTGTCACCTGCTGCTAATACTGTTTTTTGGATTGTGATGAAAAGGCTGATTTGCATTCTATTGTTATAGCATGGAAACACTTAACATCACTTGAAGACAACAGTGGAGTGTCCTTCAGTCAGGTTGGTCAATCAGGAAGTAAAGCACTTGGGTGAAAGGGAAACCAGTGGGTGCTGAGGCCTTCAGGAACTGGTAGTGAGCACCCCTGCCACGGAGCCTTGCCTCCTGTTACAACATGCAGGTGCACTTTCCAGAACATTTCTCCATCCATCTGTAACGCAGTGGTGTTCCCACAGAGTGAGCTTTGATTGGGCTCTTTCAAACATGTGAGCTTTGGCATAGAAACTTACATCTGTTTTTCACATTTTATCATCAGCGTCTCTGCGTTTCATGCATTTTAATGAAGATTGTAGAGATGAGACTGGAAACACTTTTCAGGGGAATTGTTACCAATGCACATACAGTACTAATAAATGCAAACCTGAAATGTCTGAATTAGAGCTGCTTTGGCAGCAGTTACAGCTGTGAATCTGTTGGGATACCAACTTTGCATACCCAAATTCTTTACCCACCTTTTCAAACTCAGTCAAGTTGATGGATAGTAGTCTTTGGGCTATATTACTGATTTACTTTTCTGTCCTTGAAATGTCCAGTTCAGCTCTGGCTATGTGCTTCAGGTCTTTGTTATTCTGAAAGATTACTTTCTGTCCCAGTTTCAGCCTTCTTGCAAAAGATGGCACGTTTTCCTCAAGGACTCTTCTGGACTATGCTCCGTTCTCTTTTTTTTTTTCCTTGTATCCTGACAAATGCCCCAGTCCCTGTTCATGAGAAACATTCCCGTTACATGATGCTACCATCGCCATGCTTCACAGTAGAGGCGATCTGCGGGTGATGTAGTGTTGGGTTTTTGCCAAATGTAACACTTTGCATTTAGGCCAAAAAGTTCCATTCTAAGTTTTCATCGGATCACAAAACGTTTTGCACTATTGCTTTGTTTGTCTGTAATGGCCTCCCTCTGGCGATCCTTCCATATTCCAGATTTGCAGAGTGCCTGAGATTTTGTCAAGGCACACATTGGCAAGTCTTAGCCATAAAATCCTGTAGCTCTTCAAAGTTTTCGATTGGTCTCATGTTAGCCTCCCTGATCAGGCTTTCTTGCGTGGCTCCTTGCAGTTAGGAGGGACTGTCTGATCTAGGCAGGGTCGTGGTGATGTCATACGCTTTCCACATCTTCATCATCTTGACTGTGCTCCAAGGGATATTTAAGGACATTTCTTTATGCCCACCATTGCTTTAAAATGCACTACCCAGCAGGGGGAACCTGCACAAACAACTGAATTATCCTGAAATCATGTGAATCACTACAGTTTAATGCAGGTGGAGGCCAATTAACTTGTGAAAGCAATTGTCTACACCGGAGTTCATTTAGGATTGCTATTATAATGGGGGTGAACACTAATTCCTATCTTTTTTACTTGAAAGTTGTAATATAGATAAAAATATTAAATGTTTTAGAAATGGCTACACTGTTATAAGAATGTCATTAGTAGCTAAATGTGGTCCTTGTCTGTTTTGATGGTTGACGCATGAAATTGTGAAAGTCCTTGCATCTATGAATGACAGCACCTCTGCCGAAAAGGTGAAAAGATATTCTGTGTAGACCATTATATAAGAGTAAATAACGATGACAGATAAACATTTTACCTGTTGTTCCGTTTTAATGCCTTAGTGAAGATAAATCCACTTGTTTTGAAACTCAAGTCTTTTGGAAAAGAATGTCTCAAGTGTCTTAATTTCTCCCTAGCTATTAAGTTAATTTCTAAGATATTAATAGATCAACATGAAACTACAGATTATGGAAATTAATAAATGTAAGGGATTTCTGAAAATCAAAGATGGTGAGCTGTCAGAAGGACCAGGCTTGAGAATTGTTACATTGCATACTTTATCATTTTGACAACACGGAAGGCAATTTCTAAATTAAAAAAATGCAGTATTCGGTCTTGTTTTTCTTTTTCTCTTTTAACTTGCCTTTGGCTGCTTGTTTCCCCAGTTAAAAATACTATACAAATCTTCTACAGTGGATTTAAGGCCTGAGCTGCTTTTCACTTTAAATCAGACATCGTGTGTTGCTTTTTCAGACCTTCAAGCTGTTTACAGGCAACACAGATCATTAATCCCCAGAGCCCATTTGATTCATGTTTGTTTTGCAGTTAGTACTAATAAAGTAGTAACAAGACAGCAGTGTACAGCGAATGAACAAAAAAATTGAAACAGTTGAGGCAACCCAAGTTAATTGAGAGCAAGGGTTTCCACACAGGTGGCACATCCCAGCATGCTTAGTGTCATGTGTTGAGATGCTGGACAGGTCTGGAGCCCAGGTTAGCTGTGATTGAGAGAATGTTTTTTGTTCTCTGAGTGGAGTTAATAGTTCATTCAGAGAACTAAATTGATTTTTTAGTTGTCAAGGGTGTGGGATATCGGCAGATCATAATTTGGGAGTTTTTTTTTTGTCTGAAGTAGGAAGAGGGGCTTGGGAGAAGGCATGCCCACCTGGTTTTTTGTAATGCAGGAAAGTGAGGGGGTGATGAACAGTGTTAAGTATCACTGTCAGGTGGATTGATGTCCAAGTTTAGAAAGACCACCTGTTTTTTCTGGGACCAAAATGTTGCAGGAGACTAGTGCTTTTACACAAATTCTCGGTTTAATGGCTCCTTTGTTTGTATCCTTTAATATATTCATTCCTGGCATGGAAGCCCTTTGGGAGTTATAGGAATTGGGCAGAGTCCTTTTTACAGTTATGCTCAAGATGTGTCCCCACATTCTCATTATTTTGTCTCATTTCTGCCATGGCCTGGACATTCGCTAAACACTAGATCCACTGAGTACACATAGACTGGATAATACACTGTGCTTCTAAAAACGGTTTGCTTTTGTGTTGGCAGGCATGCTACAGAATGGAAAGAAGTTTGATTCCTCAAGAGACCGAAACAAACCTTTCAAATTCAAGATCGGCAGACAGGAGGTGATCAGGGGCTGGGAGGAAGGAGTGGCGCAGGTAACGAGCTGTGAATATCAAATATCTGCTGGCTGGCTTTTGTGAGTCTCCCTGTGGTAATGAATCAGTAACTTGAACTGCTCATGTGATCAAACGTGAGATGGGTACTGTCGTATGTCAGTAGAAACCAAGAGTTAAATTCACTGCAATCTGTTCTATATTTTTATGTCACAAGCTATCCCCTTTAATACACTTAAGAAATAATGGGAAAACATTTCCTATCTAATACCTGAATTACTAGAAATGAGGCATTTTACAAACCTTTTGATTCCACTTATTGGACAAGACAGCTGGCAAGCATATTCCAGCAGCTGCAGGATGGCTTGGTGTTCTCTGAATGTCATATCCTTACTGCCACGGGCACACAAGCCCCAGTGTTTCCAGCACTGGTTTTAGGGTGGGTTTCAGTAGTAGGTCTGGGCTGAGCATCAAATTTGGTTAAGTGGACTCATGCTTTGTGTGTATTTTCAGACCCTTCCAGAAGTTTACAGGTGATGCAGATCACTAGTCCCCAGAGCCTGTTTAATTCGCTTTTGTTTTGGAGACAGGTGGGGTGGCGGTAAAGAAATAGGTTTAACATCCTGAGAGCAGCGCCGTGACTCTGGTACTTGTGTATGCGGAAGAGGTGCTCCAGCTGTGACAAGCCTCCTGTTTCTTCCCTCATAGATGAGTTTGGGCCAGCGAGCCAAGCTAACCTGCACACCAGACGTGGCGTACGGCGCTACAGGGCATCCTGGAGTGATCCCGCCCAACGCCACTCTCATCTTCGACGTGGAGCTCCTCAAGCTGGAGTGAGCGGAGGACGAGGGGTTTCCTGCTGTTTGTTCTCCTTTGAGTCTCATCTCACAACCCTTTAGTATCTTAAACATTTTACTTACCATCCTTTCTGCTTCGTTGCCAACCGTGTCATTAGATGCTGATGTTGTTTTGGATCGGGTTTTTTTTTAATTTCAGTGCCGTTTTTTTTGTCTTTTTATCGTATTGATTCTGTACTTGGCTTCTTTGTTTAACATGTTTATATTACCAAAAGCGTTTTGTTCTCGTTTAAAGGTTGTACATTTTATTGAATCTGCAAATGACTTAAAACAAAGACGGAACTATATATATATACAAAAATATATTGAAACCACTGCCTTACTTTCCATTGAAACATGGAAGCAGAGAGTAACTGTGTCCAGCATTCTGTACCATAATGGGCATTAACAACCACTCAAACTGCATTGCTTCTTTGAATTAGAGAATATCCTAATTTTGAGAATGGTATTGCTGTATTTAGTTTCTAAAATGCCCCTCTTTGGAAAGGATCCTGTAGTCAATGTCATTGTAAAAGCACAGCAAAAACGTGTATGGCACAATGTAGATTTGCTTTGCCTGACATGGTCAGTAGGGATGCTAACCATCTAATGAGTTAACCTCTTACAATAGAAAATATGCATGTTAAAAAGCAGTGCTACTGAATTTAAAGTGAGGGTGTGGAGATCTGTTTTTCTCAGCTGAGATGCTGGCTGTCTTGTGCGAGCTTCTTGTGCCACACTGACTACCTGTACTACCCGAGCACCAGGTAAGACAGCCGACATCTTGTTAGAGACGCTTTTCACCTTTTGGGATGGGTCTTCTTTCACCCAAGTCCTAAGATTTACTGTAACAGACCTAATGAAATTAACAAAATTTTTACGTATTCTATCATCAAACAAAAAGAACCACCATACTGTAACTGATTTTTTTACGTGGAGTGTTCACAAAGCCATATCCTCTGAAGTGTCACCAGTTCCATTTTATCCGGAATCGTAAGTCTTACAAAACTTGAAATAAACAACCAAAGAAACTTAGCAGATCAATGTGTATTTCTAGTTTTGTAACAATAAGCAGCTGTTTGATGAACACAGTGGCAGGGACTGTGCTTTGGAGTAAAAGGCCTTGTGGATTTCCCCTTTGTATGTACTGTCTAAGGCCTAGGCTCTCCTTCTGCAGCTAGGGTGCTTATGCTCTTGCTTTTTCAGCTTATAATTAGTGCACTACTCTGCATGATTACACAATGGCAAATGGAGAAAAGGCTGCTGAAGTTCAAGCACAGGAATGACGTGGTAAACCTGTTACCGTGCGCATTCATCCACAGTAAACGTTTTTTTTTATAGCCGACATTGCTGGCTTGCAAATCTCCAGGTGGTGTGAAGTGTTGAACAGAAATGTGACATTTTGGAATGCATTTTGTGAAGCTTTGTGGGCAAGAATAAAACCACCATGAATAAGAAATCTATCTTTGAATGTAGCATCTGTATGCGTTTGTCTTGATTTTCTTTACGGAGGTTGAGGTTTGAAGCCCTGCAGGACTTTGTGTATTACAAATTTGATCAAGGACGATTTTCTCATAGTTCTTAATTTGGTAAGGAGTGGAACAGAGCTGATTGCATTTTCATTCCACTCAACTATATCCTTCTTAAAGCGCTTCAACAGGAGTTTTTAGGGTAAAGCCATGGAGCTTGATTTCTGAAACGAGATTTAAGCTTATATAGAAGTTGAATACAAAAAATGTATTCCAAGGATGGAATACAGTAGTGTCTTGACATTCTGGAGAGTTTAGTTCAGAGAACTATCATAGATAGCCAAATCTGCATATATACCAACCCACCCTTTTACTGCCACATGGTGTATGACAATATCCGTTGTATGTTAAAGTGCTAAAGCATAAGCTTTAGGCTAAATAAAAATAACATGGAGCAACTAAAAAATCTTAAACGTATAGTATTCAGATAAAATAGCCTGAATTCTTCTTTCTCTCTCTCTCTGCTGCTGTGATTAGCACACCCCACTGTCGGGAAGAGGGCAGTGCAGTTGTCAGTGAGCCTGTAAAGTTATCTGCAGCCGGTCCTTCCCCTACCGAACCGGGAGAGCTCACTGCAGTACAAAAACAAGATAACATTGAGAGGTGGATGCTGGTACCCAGGGCGAGTCTCGCTTACTAGCTGCGTTCATGTTCTCAATCCTAGTCTCTTGTGCCGTTAAACTGAAAGTTGCGCTTAACCTCGGTTTCATCCAGCTCTGCCCCATCAGCCAGACCAAATTGTGAATAAGCAAATTCGCCCATGTTAAATCCACAGACTTTGGGCCCTACTATACTTGAGAATATCACCAGTGCACTCTGTGCAGTGCAGTGACTGTAGTGTGCAGCTTTACCAGCGGAAAGCACATATCAAATATTCAGGATCCAGAACTACTGTTAAGGTGGTGGGGGAACAGGAGCGGGGAGAGCTGTAGAACCAACTTCAGTTCCCATAACTCCCCCCCCCCAGTCCTAAGACCATAAGAGCCCAAAGCAATGACAGGAGGCCATTCAATGCATCTAGTCTGTTTGGTGGTTCATAGTCAATTGATCCAGGGAGCTCATCAATTCGTTTCTTGAAAGAAGCCAGGGTATCGACTTTAGCAATGTCACTGTGTAGCTTGCTAAACATTCCTTTAAGGATGAAACTGTCCTCTGGTTTATGTTTGTGTTCACTGTTCATTTTGAAGACATCTGCTGGTTTTCTAACCGTCAAACTTTCAGTTACACAACTGAACCCTTAAGTGACTTGGAATAGGATTAATTTGAACTGTACTACTGTTTAAAGCTCTTAAGTGCTTTGGACTAACTAATTGTAGCATATAAACTTTCAAATGTTTCAAACGAATAACTTCTAACAGATACATTAGGGTTCCAGTTAGGTAAATCAGCAGGTGTGTGGGCCTCCGGGCCAGGACTGGGAATCCATACTCTAGAACAGTGGTTCTCAAACTGTGGTACGCGTACCTGCAGTGGTACGTGGCATGCCGCTAAGTGGTACGCCAAATGACCCTGGAACTGTGTCGTGTGCGCTGAAAAATCGGGACGGGTTTTCATATTTTGTATTTT